CACACACACACACACACACACTCTCTCACACACACACACACACACACTCTCTCACTCACACACACTCGCTCTCTCTCACTCACTCACTCTCTCACACACACACACTCACACACACTCTCACACACACAGAGGATGTGTAATGTCTGGTTTCAACCTGATTTCGAGTTACACACACTCATAACTGCAGTGACAGGCATCAGCAGGTGATTCAGTGAACGTGAGATTCACACAAACCCTGAGCTGCATCTGCTTTTCGCTCAATCATAGATTTATACTACATATTTTTAGACTTTCAACAGGTTTTGATTGATTTTTTTGGTTTTCTTTCATCCTGTCCTCTAAATAATCACTATCACAGTTTGTAAAAAAAAAAAACTGAAGTATAAAAGCTTTTGAAGATCAAATGGATCTTGTGTGAAAAGCTTCTGTGACCCACACCTACCTATCTCACACATTTTCATTTATAATTCTCTTTGTTAATTGTTGTCGTAGCTTTAAATACTTCCTTTGTTGGTACGTTTGTCGTTTGATTCAGTTTATGTGTTGTCTTGAGTGGATTAATAGAACAGATTTAAGCAGTTGTGTTGTTCACTCATTATGTTTATGTCATGTTACCTTATTAAATACATCAGAGGGAAGGTCGTAACATAAAGTGGGGGCTCATCCAGGATGTGAACCCAGGACTTCTATAAATATTTTAGAACTCAGAATAACTAGAGAAAAAAAAGAAGATTCACAATTTTAAAATGCTTTTTCTTACATTTTTACACTTTCCATAACCATGTTAAGCCTAAAAATGTCACATAAGAATCTCTTGTTGGTATTTAAAAAGATGTAAAGGTAAGAAACAGCCATAGAATGTTAAACTGCTGCAACATAACACCTGAAAACAGAATTTCAGAATGGGTGAACATTTGACTTGTAGCCCGTAATAAGCATCTAGTCTGTTTTCCTTCGACTCGTCATGACCTGCAGCACCTCTGAGAAGCTCACGTATCTGTGAAGTATTTTTAGGTTTGGCAGGGCGATGCAAAAAACCCAATCCCTGCTTTCATAATGTGACACCAGGATCGCAAAGTTAAACTCTGGACAGCCTTGCTGTTACCAGGATGGGCTGATAAATCTTCAAGCACAATTAAAATTTCACCTTTTGAGGATGACTGGCCCCTGCAAGTAGATGCAGCGTGCCTCACTGCGTTCTGCAGAAAACGGGACGCTGCGTCAGGCTATTTACAGATAATGCTGAGCAAGAGAAAGTTCCCACAGCTGAAATGACATGAAGAGAGCGACCCGTTCGCCTGCAAAGCGCCTCTGATTAATGCAACCTGCAACAAAAATGGAAACGATGGAAATAATGGATCCAGAGAGCCAGATGACAGCACTGTTGGACGACACGCTGGCAGAAGAACAGCTAAACGACGAGCTGGAGGATCTGAGCAACAGGTGAGAACCTCAAACACACATTAGAGAGTGTTTAATGTTTTTTTAAAGAAGTCTCTTTTGCTCACCAAGCCTGCATTTATTTGATCCAAAGTACAGCAAAACTTTGAAATATTTTTACTATTTAAAATAAATGTTTGAATACATGTTAAAATGTAATTTATTCCTGTGATTTCAAAGCTGAATCATTACTCCAGTCACATGATCCTTCAGAAATCATTCTAATGTTCTGATTTGCTGCTAAAAAAAAACATTTATTATTATTATTATTTAGTGCTGTCAAACGATTAATCGTGATTAATCGCATCCAAAATAAAAG